GGTGGTTGTGTGTCTCTGTGTCCCCCTGTGAGCGTACTAGAAATAAGCCGTACAGATAAGGGACGCTATGCATTAAGCCGTGTGTAATAAATGTGTAATATCGGCCAAAGATGTGAAAAACGGGGGGGGAACCGGTCTTTTTCCTGGTCGGATCTGGTAGAAATCCAGAAATGGTGGAATAAACCCGACCACAAAGCCAGGCGTTATCACGGGAGCAGGGGGCCTGTGGAGGAACAGCTTTGCCCTTTCGGCTCCATTGTGAGGCTAATGTCACGGAGTGGGGGGGCGCCCCCCCCCCCCCCCCTGTGTGGATCCAGACCCGCGTGTTGATCGACTCGACCTTTTGTTTTGGCGGTTGGAGGCAGAACAGGTGAGTCTGACCCAGGGCTTCACCAAAGGCAAACTAATGAAGACTTTGAGAGGAAAATTGATTTCCCCCTCCGCCTCCCTCCATTAGCAGACGGCGACTCGTCGCTCAGACGTTTAAGGTCTGGAATATAGGGTTGTCACGATACTAAAATGTTCAACTGGATACCGATACTCCGGAAAATATTCCATACTCGATAACGTTTTCGATACCACAAGGATAAAAACAAAGACCATGATGGTCCCAAACCTGGTGACCCTCATCTGAGATATCCTGGAAGTGCCTCCATCTTCCATCCAGTTAGAACTAAATACGCTTAACTGTTTTCTGAGTTTTTAGCTGTGTGTTCTGCTAGTATTACACAAACGCAAAAATAATTTAAAAAAAAAACGATCAGAAGTAATTTGAGTCAAAACAGCTAAAGTCTGACAAGAAGCACATTTTACACACTGAAGGAAGCAACTTCTAATTTCCTTCCTTTGAGCATAAGAAGTAAAAAAATAAGCTTAACTGTTTTCTGAATGATGAGAAGTTTTTAGCTAAGTGTGCCCTGCTACTATTACACAAAAATAAAATGGTAATAATCTGGAAAATAATATATATATAATCTGAAAAAAAAGCATAAAAGCATAAAAAGCATAAGAAAAAACAGCTTTTTTAAGCTCTGTATTTCATCAGAAAATGCTTAAACAAAAACCCCATTCATAGCCTCCATTAAACAAATAACAGATGATTTAGTATTCCTCGCAAAAAGAAGAAGGAATCAGGAACATTCATGGAGATCCCAGAGGAAAGGGAGAGGCTACGTTAGATGTAAAGTCTCCCACATTTAATCTGCCCAAACCTTTTATTCCTCCTCTGTGAGACAGATCAGGTCGGTTCACTCCTAATTTTCTCAAAAGGGAGGAGGTGGGTTAAGAGTCAGTTTACAGCAGTTTCTGGGAGTCCAATCCGACGGGAAGTTTTCAGGAATCCGTCAAAACCTTCTTATTACTTAATCCGACTCTCCCAAATGACAAATGATCTCATAAGCTTGGTTTCATTGAGGTTTCGGCCGCATAAAGACGCGTTTAAATAAAGTTTTCTGACCATCAATTCATCACTCGGTCGCCAAAAAGAGAGCCATAAAAGTCCATTAAAAGAAACTTTTTGGCAGTTTTGACAGCTTCCCGCCGTCAGAAGTCCACGGCCGGGATGTTAAAACGTGTTAAAAAAGGGTTTAATCTTAAATCTTAAATGTAT